GAGGCTGAGAAATGGAAGGAGTGATCAGCGGTGTCAGATGGGTGAGGGCAAATGAACAGGTGGATTTGGCAGAGTGACGGGTGCTGCGAAGAGCAGTTTCAGTCAAGTGGGCTCGGGTGCGATAGGAAAGGGGAAAGTGGAGACTGTGTGGATACCTTTGGGGGAGTTTGCTTCTTAAAGAAGAGCAGAAATTGAGCAGGATCTCAGGAGGATGTTGGGTCAAGGGAAGAAGTCTGTTTACTTGGAGTGGAAGATGTTACAGCACTTTTTGAGAATGTTCCAGTAAAGGGGGAAAAATGGATGATGAAGGAGAGATAGCTTTTATAAACTACCTGATTGCTACCAGTTGAGCAGAAAAGGAGGCCACCTTTAGGAGGAAAACCTTGGAGATAAGTAAAATGCTTTCATTTTATTCTTAGATTTCAATGCAAATATGTTGTATTTTCTGAACTGAATTCATGATAACCTGAGAGACAGATGGTAGCAAGAGCAAGATGTATGTTGTATTTTAAGAAAATGTTTCCAGAGTCAGGAGGCAGGTCTGAACTAAAGATAAAATTAGGTACCTTCAAATTTCTGTTGACTTCATCATCAAAGAAGTAAACATTAAAGTATTAATTGTGTCTCAGTTATAAGGCTACTTTATTTTTACTTAACTCCCATTTATTTGGATATCATGATGATTTGGGTTCAGATAAATGACATTCGCCTTTCCAATGTATGTGGAAAAGGGATTGGGAGAAAATTAATAAGCAAATGAAATTGCGAAGGGCTGTTTAATATCCTTTCATAGAATTGTTTCCAAGTAGCCCTATGACATGCAGGCATGCTAATTACAAATGTTCCTACTCTTGTCAACCAAGTTGGCCACACTTTTTCAGCTTTTACCAGAAAAAAATGAGGACATTTCTAACAAGAAGTCTGCAGGGTTGGTTTCTGGTGCCTGTTACCAGAAAGGTGTCTGCAGTGACTAGTTGAAAGGCACACGTGCCAACAACCACCTGGACCAACTACAAATGAGAATGAATAACACGAATGAGTGTTCCTGAAGTACATTACCACGAACCAGAACATCTTTGAACACATCCTCTGATTTCGTTCTTCGGTCCACATGCTTGAGAGCCTTCTGTGTTCCAAGCAATCGTCCTAGGAATTTAGGTCCTAGAGATTGTGGAAAAGGTATCTTTCTCATGAAGCTTGCCATGAGCTGCACAACAAACTAGTGAGATATGTAGGTCAAGCACTGTTATTATTCATCTTTACAGATGAAGACATTCTAAGGCTTAATTAAAACTCAGATTTAAATCACTACCATTCTAGGAATTGGAGCCTCTGGTGAAATTTTATTATATTTTCTTTCTCAAAACTTCAGAACTCGGTGCTTTAATACATGGTATACCCTGAAATATCATCTTCATAAATATAATGAAATTCCACAGCAGAAACTTCTGTATGTAAACCATTTATTCCAGCACTCAGTGCTAGAAGAGCCATTTCATGTGATAAAGTCACAGCAGATCCACCTTAAGTTACTGCTCTGTGAGCCTGATGAAGCCTTTCCTGCCAACAGAATTCCTGTGATATCTGAACTGTATCAGCTTTTTACAAAACAGCCTTCATAACTAAAATATAATTAACTGCCTCTATTATAAACTATTTTTAAAATATAACATCTTACCATTTGCACTGAGTCACATAATTATTAGAAATGAGGAAGGTTTTACTTTTTCTATTTTTAAAACATAGCTTGTAAGTGGAAAATAGTCATTGTTACTTTAAAAGATATGTAAGCCACATATGAACTCTGTCTCTTCAGTGTATATGACTAGAGGTGGAGGGTTTCCTTCATTGAGAAAAATTTTTATATTAATTTAAAAATATTTAACTATGGTGTGAGACCTTCTTTTTCCTCCTTAACTCTCGTAACTTTCAGGGACTGTTGGAAGATATATTCAGGTAACCGGATGCAAAGTGGGAATTTTCCTGTAAATACTGCACATTCTAAAGAGAAAGATGCAACCTGTTCGGGGCTTACCAAGGGGTGAGCTGCCCTCAGCTATCAGTCATGGAGCAGAAGATCAGTGCTGGGAAGGGTAGAGAATGGTCTGAGCCACTGTGGAAAGAGATGAGGCTTTCCTGCCTTCATGGGAGAGGAGAGAGAACGTGTCCCCATGCTCTCCAAGCCTGGTGAGAGGGCCCCATGAGGATACTTACCAGAGTTGGGGAGCCTACAAGAAGGGGGAGCACATCTCTTCCCACAGTTGGACTTCTAGCAAGCAGATCATGTAGCACCAAGCTGAAAAATAGAGAATTGGAGAGAGATGTCCTGGCAGAGAGGGGAGTGGTCGCCGAGCAGCCTTCCCTGCATGAAAACGTTGTGTCCACGTGATGGGACCGGGTGTGCAGAGGGAGGCTGTGCTTACGCCCTCTCCCAGCATCCCACCCAAGGTGTGTGCATGTGTTCCCAGAGGGCTAAATGGAGGAAGCCAAGCTGGAGCCAGAGCTTGCACATCTGGAACTGTGCAGTGGGGACTGCGCCCTCCCCTGAAGAGCCCTCCAAGAACTCCTGTGGATACAGTACAACCCGCAGGGCTGTGCCTTCAAGAGGACATCAGAGGCCAAGTTAGGGTTCCCCTGACAACCAGCCTCCACCAGATAAGAAAGCCCCAAGCCCTTCTGTACCCTCCTCCCCAACTGAGCACAGGAAAGAGGCAGGGCTTGGGGTTGGGGGCAGCCAAGGTTGACCATGACCCCCAGGTTTGGTAAACCCCCAAGACTGGCCTGTGGTGAGGGAGAGCAGCGTTTGAATCAGGACATTGGAGTTTTATTCAAAATGGATTCTTCAAGACTCAAAGGGACCAGGAAGTCATGCACTGTTCCCGAAATGTCAGTTGGCCTGTTGCCCATCTGGAAGGAGGGACTGGACATGGCCCATGTGGGAGCAATGAGGAGAAAACAATAAAACATTCAGGTGTTTGAACCCCAGAGGAATTGAGAGGGTTGAGACTGTTCCATGAACGGGTCCCATGTATATATAGGATGTCCCCCAGAAATGTATATACACACTTTGAATAGTTATAAAGGCAGTCTTTATTAAACTACAGTTCATTTTCGAAATTGAGCTATCAGCTCTTAAAGTGTGTATACATTTTGGGGGACACCCTGTTATATCTGTTTCAGGATCAGCAAAACAAGTTCCTTGTAACCAGGGTCCCTCTGCCTTCCGTTGAAGTCGGTCCCAGGCCTTGCTTCCTATCCCGTCAGGCTGACGTGCATGACACTCCCATGTGACCTGAGCAGGCCACTTTACCTCTGGGAATGTTAGTGTCTTCATCTGCAGGTGACAGGCGTCTCTGGGCCCCTTCTAGCAAGTCTGTGAACATGGTGAGTGATGTGATTTACAGGAAAGGATTAGCTCAGACCTGGGGATGAGAGTGCAGAAGGGTCATCGCGATCCTGGGAGGGAGTCTGTACCTGTTAGGATGCTGATCCCACGGAGGCAAGGAGTGAATATATTTAAATCAGATGGCAGCTATTGGAGACCAGGCTGGGGGGATAATGGGCCCAAGACTTAAACTGCTAGGGATTTCATTTTGAACAGTAAGAAGAGGAAGATGCCCTGTGGAAAAAATGACATGAAGTTGAGAGAAGGAGCTGAGGAGAGCAGAGCTGGTATAAGTGGAAGGTGGTTGGAGGTGCCTTTTGGTTAGACCCTGGGGTTCTTTCTTGCTTAATATAATGCCAGTTACCCGACACTCTGTCCCCAGCAAGCCAGAAGGGATGGAAAGCAAAGATGTACGTATGTGCAGATATAGCTGGAGAAAAAGATGTTAAATTTCTGGTGAGCATTTCTGGGAGGGTTGGGATGGGGGCAACATTTAGCCAGAAGAAGTTTTCTTTCCCTTGAGCCCTTGGCCGGTGATGTTGTTCTTTACTAGGTTTCTGAACCATATCACGGGTACGTTTTTATCTCCTTCCTGCCCTGATCTCTGCACATCTACTCATGAATTCTCAGGGTGTCCACAGTGCTGACTGAATAAGGTTATTCAGCAGCTCTGCTGCTCTGAGATTCCATTTCATGATGTCTTTTAGTGATGGAATTCACTCCTTTTCAGGAAAAGAACTGCAAAGGTCAGCCAGGCGCCTCATCACTCTATTTGGTGGTTTCTACTCTAACTCCTGCGAGGGGCTGTTGGTCAGTTTGGTCCTAAGCAGACCTCATGGCCTCCGAATAATTGCTAGTTATTAGATTGTCAGTGGTATGGTGGAGAGAGCGAATTACGGAGCTGATTCATTCAAACGCTGTTCCCCAAAGTTTCTGCTTGAGTTACAGAACTGTGCTTCCCCACCCCCAGCCTCCTTCCCGCCACCTGTGCCACCACACACTCCCAGGGCCTGTGCCACCACACACTCCCAGGGCCGGGCGGCAGGCTGACCCTTCTGCGCTTGTTAACCACAGAGATTTGCCCTTGAGAACTCCAAAGGGAAAAATATCGCCTAGGTTCATCGGATGGAGGAGCAATGACTAAATCACGAAAGTCATTTTACTGCATTGATTGCTCGTGGTCATTTGAAGATAAGAAAATAAAGATGTTTGACGTGTGTTAAAGGTTTTCTCCCATCCTTCTTGAAACTATTGATCCTCTGAAATGATGTGAAGAGGGAAACTATTTCCGTTCTCTTCAGCAAAAGTAAACCACAGTTGGCTTTTCCCAGCATGATGGGCCATTTCCCTTGATCTGAAGCTAACACCTAAATGCTCTCCTTTTTTTTTATTTTCCTAGCCAACCCAAAATGTTTTTAAGCAAAGGAATGGCTTAGAAGTCAATGATTAAACGTTGGGCATTTTTTTTTGAGCTCTTTTCTTTCTTTCTTTCTTTTTTTAAAGAAATGTGATTCTTTGCTTTTTATTATTTTCCTCTCTCCCTTCCTTGATGCTACCTCGGTAGCTGCCGTGTTTTAAATATTGACAAGATGAGATAGTTTTCTGTTTATATCAGCAGTCGTCTGTCTGTGAGATATGGACGAATCAGAACGCTGGATTCCCTTTCTCAGCCATCCATCAGGTCCATAATGTAAGGTTACAAACGGTTGTATTCTTGTCCTGAACTTGCGCTGTGTGATGTGTCGCAAAGTGTTGTCAGTGGCCGCAGGGGCTGTGTCCTGGCAAAGCAGAAAATGTGTGATGTCTAATGACTCCTGAGATTTTTATTTTTGTCTATGATACTTCGTTCACTGTGCCTTGTGACCAGTTGACGTGCAAACATTGTCCTAAAATGAGAAACATGCTTGGTTTTGAAGTTTACAGTAAAATCTGTCTCATGTGAGTTTTGGCTTTCATATCAGGTGTCTGTGTAACTTGCTTTTACAGGAAGAAGGAAAAGGGTAAATAGGTATATATACACACATGTGTGTGTGTATATATATATATATATATATCGGTGTTTTTCTTCCCCATTTTGTACTTCCCCGTGTCCATGGGCTAGTCAGCCCGCTGTGTCTAACAGTTCTCCAAGGTTCATGCGCTTTACTAGTGAGAAATATTGGTGTGTGAGTTGCATGATATTCCGTATCCGTTTTATGCCAATGTGGGAGGAGGCGAGCCAGGGGAGGCACTGTTATAGCTAAAAGTGGTTCTCAGCCTTTTGCATCTGACAACACTGAATTGATCTCTGGAATGTGGAATCATGACCCATTTTACTCTGAGCTGCTGAATAGTATTCAAATGTTCACACTTCACCAAAATTCATTTGTGTTTGGAAAGGAAACATTTTAATGTTTGGGTTTTTTCCATTTTGTTGTTTAAACTACAGCCCTGTTTTCACATCCTGTTAAATTATTCCCATTGACTAGCCTCCCGTCTGAGAGGCTGTGACATTTGGTTGAGAATCACAAAGCAGAGCTCGTGGGGCGGCATGCGAGGGGCCTCTCTCGGGGTGCCACGCCAGTGCACCCCTCCTCCTGTGCATGGGATTTCTGGCTCTTGGGGACCAGGGGGCGTCTAGATGTTGCCTGGTGCTGGTGCTCTGAGGTCCAGCAGTTCCTCCTGAACCTGCAAATGCTAAAACGTGCTTTCGTGTTCAGAAGTGGCCATCTCTGCTCTGTATCATCAAAAGGAACAAACTCATTATAACCAACTGCATTGGACCAAACTAGCATTCTTTATTCTTTTTTTTTTGTAAGGAATTACAACAGCATCCTGCTTTTGTGTGTGTGTGAATGTTTGAAGGAGGCTTTTTCTTACATTCACACTCAAGTAGCCGTATACATATTTATAAGCAGAGAGCTATATGTAGCATTCTGCAAAGCCTTAGAGATAACAGAAATTAAAGGTAATCACAGAAATCTATGTCTGATGTTGGGGAGAGCCCGTCTCTGACATTTGTCAGAATTATTGAAAGTGAAACCTTAAAATAGCAGTTGTCCTTTAAAGTCATTTTAGTTTTCCATTAAGTGTTTTTTGAAGAAGTAGGAAATAATGTTTGTTAATATTCGGATCTAAATTTACAAGCAGGTAGGTGGGAGCCGTTCCTAGTAGAAGAGATTTAAAAGCCTCAGTTTTTAAAAAGCCAATTAAATTCTAATTTAAAAATATAAATTTTAAAAAAAATAAGAGAGGGCTTGGATGATACCATGCCTTCCTGTCGTGTTAGAAAGCTAAGTCATAGCCATGGCTTTTACTTACTGGCATCCTTAGGAAGTAAATAAATTTTCTCAAGAAGAAAATAAGAATGCAAATAATGCTTCCCCCTTTGTATTCTCAGAGCATATAGAATATGTATTATCTTCAGTTTCCTTTTTTAGGGGAGAAAACTATACGATAAAATATTTCGACGCCTGCCTTAGGCATCTGGTACATTCGTACTAAAACCATGCAGCTTTGCCACCTTTTGAAATAATACAAAGTTTAAAAGCTGCTTTAGACTCTGCCGTACAATAAAAACCTATCTGTAGACTTCTGTGAATTATTTTCCTGTGTTATAACTAAATTCAGCTCCTAGTTTTATGTTTTTCAGCTGGTGGTCTGAGACACTTAATTTAATGACATTGTACAGGGTCTGACCCAATTATGATCCTTCAGATTCAGCCCAACTGTGGATTTCTAGTTGGCAGTTGGCAAATACCTGTTACACAGAATCAGTTCTCCATTTAAAATTCTAATCTCAAATTCTGTTTTTTCTTACTGGGGACCGAGCCCACCACCCAGGCATGTGCCCTGACCGGGAATGGAAACGTGACCCAGTGGTTCACAGGTCAACGCTCAACCATTTGAGTCATATCGGCTGGGCAAATTATATTTTTTCTTTCTTTTAGAAGGTTAATTTTTCTTTGAGTTTGAAGGGATAGTTAATAAAGTACATTTTTCCTCTGTATAATTGATATATCCTAAAGGAAATAAATACATACATGCCAAGGAAATGATGTTTTAAGCCATTGCCCAATTATTGAAATATTAAGATCATTTAATACAAGAGCCTAAAAGAAAAATTTTCTCTAGGTATTTTAAGCTCTAAAGAGGTAGCCTGAACACATTTAGGAAGAGTGGCTTGAATTATTTCCATTATTCTTATGTAATTACTTAAGCTTTTTAAAGAGTACTGCCAGTCAGTGGTAGTTTAAAATATGACGGAATTTACCCCAGACATTTCCTACTTCATTTTTTTATTCTAATTAAACATTATTGCTTCATTGGACCCATGTTTAGATCTACTTTTCATTAAAGATAAAGTTTTATTATAAATCATTATTTGAGGCCAAAGACCTTTTAGGTCTGTTTTATTTTTATTTTTATTTTTATTCAGTGAACATTTTTAACTGAAAGATTATTAGTTCTTTCAACTTACCTGAAAAAATATAGGTATTATCTAGGTACCAATGCACTATTTAACAGAAGCTAATAGTTTGAATTCATTTTACATATAATGCCAAACCCCAGATAGTCAGTACCCTACCCAGCTCCTCCTAGCTCATTCCTCCTGTAATTCAGCCTCCAGGAGGGCTGAGACCTAAAGCCCTTGTTCTCTGAACTCTTTTGTTCCTACAGTCAATCAACCAGGAGAAGCTGAATCCCACCCAAGGGCTAAGGCCACATGTGCCCTTCACCACAGTGTGATGCCAAGTCCATCCGTTCCTCTTAAATTAATTCCAGAGGGAAAACGCAACACCTGAGCTGAGTCGTCTAAACATTCTTAGCTCTAAGGTTTAAAACAAACAAGTTGATGAATATCCAGGAAGAAAAGAAATTTATTTTCTTACCAATTCAATATTAAGAACACTTTTCCCTCAGTTTGAAAATGAATTTCTGGAAATAGCACTAAGTATAACAAAACTCAATTTCTATTTCCAGAAAGGTAGATTCAGCCACGTAGAGAATTTCAAAATATTTGGACTCAAGCAATGTTTCAAGGCCAGAAAGAAAGTAAAGTAAGGATTATATTTCTCTTCCCTATAATTACCTCCCCCAACCCCGAGGGGGAGGTCCCGTCTGATCACTCTGGATTCAAAGCAGGTGGTTTGTGATTTCTGGACAAAGTGAAATCCTAAGAGCAGATGATGCTGTTGCCAAACAAAGTTAAATGGATGTGCCACTAATTTCTTCAAGTGGTTATCTCATAAGAGATGGGGTGATTTCCAGATGGAGGTGGTATGTGCTGGGGCCTGTTATTCCCAAAATGGCTGCTACAGTTTATGCTGGATGATGTAAATATTTCGATTAGCATTTGGCTGTAGTTCTGCTTTAAGTGTATGGAACTCACATTGAAGTTCAATTATAAAAGTGCCTGAGTTAATGAATCAATTAGAGAATGAGTTTGCATATGATTTGCATGCATAATATACTAACATCTGAAACGTCCCCATAACTCCAGCTTTGCCCTAACACCCCACCCCTCCTCCCACCCATCGTGCCCCCAGCTCCTGCCCTGTCTGTGTAGGCTGTTGTGAAACTGCCTGCTGAGCTCGGCCAAGATTCCTCAGCTAAACGGTGACAGGGCTAACGTGAAGATCTGATGCTTGGTGTGAGCTGTCACTTCAGCAGATGCTGGATCGAAGGATCTTTTGATGCCAACCAGCTCCTTTTGTACCATTCCACGGAGTTGTGTGCAAACTTCTGTTGTTCCATTAACAGTGTTACCTGTGACTTAAATGTACAACACCTGTTGCTATGTTGTTGTTCTATGGGGAGGGGGAGGGAGACGGGGGAAAGTTAATGGCGAAGATTAGAGGATGAACTGCTAAGGTATTGGGAGAGCTTTTAATTAAGTACACATCGCTGCATGTTTCCAGAGAGAGATTGTCACATAGAAGTTGTTACACTCAGCCTCAAAATAACATTGAAATCTACATAGCCTCCATTTTTTAATTTTATACTGGATTTTTTTAGACCAAATCACAGCCAGTTGCAATGAAGACTGGAGAAATAATAAAGAGCCAGATGTTTGAGAAAGAAGGAAAAGAAACGATCAGAATAGCAAGTCAGGGGAAAACTTAATGCTAAACTTAATTGCAGTCAGTTATGGTTCTTACGTAATAAACATTCATATAGCTATAAAGAAAAAAAACTCAAGAATGAATCAGGGATGGGTCATAAAACAGACAAAAAAGCTAAAATAGATATCCCAGGTGAAGTCCTAACAGTATCCACAGATGGGAGGATTGTAGAACCACACCATCTGCATGTAAACCAGCAACTGGAAGAAAACGAACTCACAGAGTAGCTCAGATGAGAACTTGAGAGAGGAGTGAGAGGGGTTTTGACTGGTCACACGCTCCAGTGAGAAGCCTGGGAAAGAGCATGATACCGAGTGTGCTCTTTCTGGGACTGGGGTGACTCATCTTAAAGAGAAAAGCGTCAGGTTCTCTCCCTCTATGAAAAGGTCTGTGCATTCCCAAAGGACTCTAAAATTTTCTTCTGGTTTTCCAAAGCCAGTTAGAAACTTCCAGAAGGCAAAGCCTGTGCCTAACATGTTCCAGCATTGGCAGCCACCTTACAGGCCACTTAATGGAAATCCAAAGTGCACAGGAAAAATTGGAATGCTGGTCCTCTTCCCCAAAACACATATCCTGGAGAATGGTGGTTATTAGTCTTCGGGAATCTCTGTATTCTTTCAGAGAATATAATGAAAGCTATGGACTTTCTCCTCCAAAACACCTACATCCAAAATGTTGCATTGTTATCCTAGACTCCTTGAAAAGCTTACTTAAGGAATCCTACAGTGTCAACCCATATGCTAGTACATGTAGGGAACATGGTCCCTAGCCAAAGTTTTGCTTGGTTTGGGAGCTCATGAGACCTTTTTATATTCTTTCATCTCCTAAGAAAGGTAATTTCTCATAATTCTTGAAAGAGTGGCTTTGGAAATCTGCCTACTATCTAGTTTTAATTATGTCTATTTGAGAAGAAAGAACAGAATTTTGAAAAATCAGAATTTTGGCCAGGGGAAAGAATAAGAAATCTCCCATGTGTAATATCTAAATCAGACTAGAGCCCAGAAAAGACCTGCCAACACAGGCCTTCGACTTTATAGATCTCACACTAAACCGTATTCAAGCAGACTGGGTTTTATTGCGTTTCACTTCATTGAGCTTCACTGATGTTGTATTTTTTTTTCCAAACGAAAGGCAAAAAGATTACGACTAAAATAAAAAATAAAGATCGTGACTGTCTTTATTGTAATACTCACCTGATTGTAGTGGTCTCGGATTGAACCTGCAGTGTCTCCGAGGTACGCCAAAGCAATAAAGCAGGCTGAGGGTAACCTCATGGAAAATGATACGTCAAATGATGGGTCTGCCCTAGTGGGCATGTGTGTTATATGATAGCCCAGCATATGCATATATGCGTGTATTTGTGAGCCAGGATCCTCAATTACATGCATATGCACATATGACCAAACATGGCATTGTAATGCCCACAACCATCACAGTGGCATTATATCAATGCAAATGAAGTCAGGAGAGAAACGAGTTGGCATCCATTAGTAAATCTTTCTTCTAAAATGTTGTTTAGTGTCACATACAGCCTTTTCTCCACAGATAAAATTATTCAAAGGACATGGTACCTGTCATATTTGGGAACTGATATTTATGGAGCTGAGTATTCTGCACAGAAAAGCAATTCAAACTAAAAATTTCAAACAAGTTTAAAAACGGAAAACTCTTTCAAAGATCAGGCATTCTTTCCCCTGTAACAGAAAAGTATGAATTAGTAAACCACTTATGAATATCTTAAAGACCTTTAATTTTAAATTATTTAGCTTACAGTGTCATTCTAACAATAGAATAACTCAAGTTCTTTCACACCTCAAAAATTAGCTCAGCTTTGGGAAATGTGCTAATACATATAAAACCATAATAAACAGTGGAAGTGTTTATATACATATAACACACGCAAATTTATTTGCACATGTGCAGCACCTGTGTATATGATGAACTCGGGCTAGCCACAGGGAATGAACTTTGCCGACTGCTCATATTACCTCTGGAATAAATGTGATTTTCAGACAGGAGACTGGGGAGAACCTTCCATTACCTTGCGCCCTCCAAATGAAGCTACGGCCTCAACTCCAGTTCAGTATTGGCAGCACCACCCAGAAAAGCTCATCTTCCAGTCGTGTGATTACAAAGCTTTTGTAAGTTACCTTGAATTCAGTATTTGGGTCTGAGTAGGGATAGTGGGTATATTTCTAGCTTCTTTATTTTATATTGAAAATATACTAAAATGCCCATCTTCCTAAAATGATCTCCCCAAATACGTAGAGCTTTATAATCCTTTTAATCGTAGAAGCTTAAGATCTGTTTTCCCTTCTTATATAATTGTATATTTTAAATAAAACGTTGTACACTGAAATCTTAAAATGGAAATGAGTATCAGTATAGCACATATAGACATCTCCATTCACCAGTGGTCTCAAAACATTGGGTCTACCACCTTATAAAAATTCCAACCTCTCCTCATTGTTATCAGTAGGATTATATTACTAAGGATTTTTTAATAGGAGAGGGAATCAAGCTTAGCTGAGAATTGTGAGTAATCTGAACGGATAATTGATCAAAAGATACCGTAGGTTTGGGGGCAGGTGGTTGTCATGACTACAGCAGGAAACATAGCTGAACTCTCAGCAGTGCATTGAAGCTGCCTCGAAAGTGTTTCAATTAGGACAAACTTTCCTGATACCTTAAAAGATAAGGATTTCACCAAGATCGTTTTTTCCTTAATTAAGATGTGGGCGTTCTGGTTTTCTCCAGCAGTTTAGGCTTTTTTTTTCCCCCCCCCATTTGGTGTTATCTGCACTTCTTTTACTGCTTGCTTATCTTGAAACATGGGATTTATTTCAGTAGTCATTTCCCAAAATCTGTAGGCGTGAAATGCCCCCTTCTTCCTCCAAATCCTGGAGATTTTCTGAACATGCCTTCTTCAGAGCCTTTGACCACGCTGTGCCCCTGCCCATCCTCTGCTCGTCGGGACTTCCCAGGTGGCAGGACTGGTTGCCAATCCTGTTTTTAGAGAGTGCCAGGGTCTCCTCAGTCATGTCAGGAAAATAATTACCTTAATTCACTTAAAACAAAACACACCTAGACCTCTTTTTTTTTTTGTCTGAAGGAAATTAGAGAAGGAAAAATGACAGCTGGAAAGAACCCTACTGAAGCTTCAAAAAGTTGAGGAATGCCCTGGCTGGTTTGGCTCAGTGAATAGAACATTGGCTTGCAGACTGAAGGATCCCGGGTTCGATCCCAGTCAAGGGCATGTTCTTTGGTTGCAGGCTCCATCCCTGTCCCTGGTTGGGGCATATGCAGGAGGCAACCAATCGATGTCTCTCTCTCATATCAATGCTTCTCTCTCTGTGTCTCTCCCCCTCCCTTCCACTCTCTAAATATCAATGGAAAAATATCCTCAGGTGAGGATTAACAACAACAACACAAAAAATTACTTGAGGAGTCCCTTGATAGCAAGGTGAAATAAACATTTTGCTAACATAGACGTGTTTGCTCCAGCTAGAACCTGAGGCGTGGTGGTGTTTTGTCCTAAGGCAGTATGGGATCCCATCACCTAAGATCTAAGTGGTTGGTGATTCCAGGAAGAGAGCTTCCCAGCCTTCTGGTACCCCATTCAGCCCTCCACTGTTCATCTGCACCAGGGCCCCCTCCGTGGTTGAACAACCGTGGTGACATTGTCCCTCCCCACAGGCTCCCATCCCCTTCTCAGGTGGGTCAACCATCAGAGGCCACACAGCTGTGAAGGAAAGGGTCCAAAATAGGCATCTCTGCCTTGGAACAGCCACACATTAATTACCTAAGCAGCCGACTAAGCCCAAATGGGGTGCCTGTGGCTCACTCCTCAGCTGTCTCATACAACCCTGTAATTACATAGACGGCAGCATGATTTATTTTTGCAGACCTTGCTGCTTCAAAAAAACACAGGGAAAACATTTTTAGATGCCCCCATTTTGCAGTTAAATATGATGTGAAAGATGGTGTCTTTAGAGAATGCTGCAGTTTTATTATAAAGAGCAGTTTACAGCTTTCGGAACTGTAGTTAACTCCGCTGTGTCCTCTCTACAGAAGTCTTGATTCGTTAGGATTAGTTACTATTCCTTCTTAAAAGTTGTGCACCAACTCACAGCCAGGAAAGCTAGCCAATGGTACTTTCACAGTGTGTTTTTAAATCGCTGCTTATATTTGTACTTACAAGTCATTGGATTTTTGTGTGTGTGTGTGTGTGTGTTTTAGTATTTAGGTTCTATGCTGATTAAAGAGCTCAGGGGGACAGAATCAACCCAAGATGCTTGTGCAAAAATGCGGGTAAGTTTGCCAAACAATTTTATTTCTAATCACTGAAATACTAAATACTGGGTATGGATGCAAATTGCCACTTTTCACATTACTATTTTCTTCATCTGTTGTCTGCTGAGTCACACTGGTGTTACATGAGAAGGTGTTCGGGCTTTGTTCATGTTTATATTTGAGCTCATCTTGTTATAGTTTGAGATGATGTCTTTTTGATATATTTATATGTATGACATTTACACTTCAAGATCAAAACAAATTGTATGTACATGGATCATTGTCCAGATTAGGAGGAAAAAATGATCTTTAGTTTATTACAAGAAAATGTTTTCAGCACCCACTTGACAGTCTACGTACTGATTTTCTGAAAAGGCTTCCAATTAACTAAAATTTATCAAACTCAGAAGTACTGGGAACATGTTCTATAAAGCTAATATTCTTTATGAGGCTTCTTAATTATTCTTTTTAAGTATAAGAGACACATTCAACTCTGCATTGAATCATATAATAACAGTGAATGTTGACAGAACTGGCCATTCCAGACATCTGTGATTGGTGGCTGCAGGATTCCTTGGAGTCTGTACCAGCCAATCCAACTCTCACACTGCAGAATCACACTAGCTCTTTCTTCCGAGAGTCCCTTAGTCTTGCTTCCTCCATAGCAGATGGATAGGGGTTAGAGCAATAGCTGACTGACAGTACAGATTAAGAATATTGGACTTATTCCATGTAGCAACTAACTGGAGTCAGATTTAACATCATTATTGAGTGAACCCTAACTTTTATTTTCGGCCAGATACTTTGTCATTTATTTTATATGAGCAGCTTTTGGTAGGAGTTACTTAAAAGCATATAATTGAACTAAAAACAGATATGAAGGTAATATGTAATACCCATTGCTCATGGAAAGCTAAATGTGAGTGAGTCTTCATGAAATTGAGACCTCAGCATGTGATCGCTGATCTAATATTTTGGCCAATTCAGTAGCAGATAGCCTGAAACAGTTTTCTTTCTACTTGATGCAGAAGTTAAATGTAAATTGTCAGCGTCAGTGAGCCTTTATTACAGGGACTGTGTTTATGAAAAAAGCTCTGGTATGTTCTAGGAACTCTAAGTCTAGTTTGGTTGCTGCTGACCTGGCTCATGAGTCACTTTTTAGTCATTATCATAACTGCTAACATTTACTGAGTAGTTACAATGTGCCCATCTCTGTGCTGAGTCCTGTGCCTGTTCATCTTATTTCATCTTTATCACACCCCTATAAGATAGTACGACTATTATCCCCATTATACAGGTGAAGAAACTGAGGCTTAGAGCATGCATGACAAACTCAAAGGCTCACACGGGCCAAATAAACAAGGTTTAAGTTTATGTGGGCCACAAAAAAAACAAAAGCTTCAATTTTCATAGAAACGAAGTTTTATTTCGATAGAGACATGCTGAATACAAAGGGCTGAAATAAATGAGTAATCATTAACAAAATAATAGAACATTTTAATAAAAATTTATATTTTTTTCTTGAACGTTAACTTAGCAGACACTGAATAACTTTGCACACATTAATAAGTATAACACAAATAAAGCTATTTTTCTTGTTCTCCGAAAGCAAAATATTTCCTGTTGCACACACCAAACAAGTCAGTCCAAGACTAATGACATGGCAATTGCCTGCTAAAATATTCGCTGCTAGTATTAGTGGAGAGAAATGGTGCGCCTACGCGTAAGGCATGTAAGGGAAATGAATGCAACACGATTATAGTAATCAGTCATTAGCAAACATTGTAGTTTGTTATTAATAATTGTGTATACAGGATATTGTAAAAGTTAAGTTACGAAATTTTTATTAAAACATTTCTTACATACCGTTATATTGGCTGGGCCACAAAAATATTCATTGTGGGCCAAATGTGGCCCGCAGGCTCTGAGTTTGACATGCTAGATTTATAGAGTTAAATAACTGATCCCAGGTCACACAGTAAAGAATTTGCCCACTGGAACTGGGACTCAGATCCATCTGACCCCAGAGCCCAAGCATTTATTATGTTCTCCAACTTCTCCTGGGCCTCATTTCTTACTGAGAAAATGAGAACATTGGACGAGAAGCCCTTCAGGGTTCCTCCTGGTTTTATAATTCTGGAAAACCTGTATTCTAAATATATATCATCTAAATGATGTCACCAGGGCACAAAAAGAAAATGGGAGTGTTTTTCAATCATCAAGCCCTGTAATGATGTTAGCGCTCTTCGTGAACATACCTAAGAAATTAACTTGGCATTTCTGATTTCATACTCTTAACTCAATTATCTGAGTCCAGCTACTTCAGTGCTATTATCAGCATAAATAGTGGGTAGAGCTCATAGCACCATTTAACATACACCCGATCTGTGATTTGAATTTCAGTCAATTTCTTGAAATTAAGTGGGTCTGAAATTTCATTCCGCTAAGCAATGGCAAAGCCATTTTAATAGTCTCAGTGGAGAATAATTTTGTTAAATACTTGCCTGTTGCTTAAAATGAAACTGAAAAGGCTGCCGAGTTACAGGCCATTCTTCTTTAGGGCGTTTTTCTGGTTTGCTGCTCTAGGTGGTTATTTTGAGTGGTTTACATGAAAATGGGAGCTTTATTGCTTCTTAGAATATCTCAAACCCTTATTTCCCCATCTTGATTGAATAAGTATCAGCCTTTGATACGGGAGCTAAAGTTGCACTCACTGGATTCACCAGAGCTTTTCAAAATCAGAAGCGTGGATTTGATGCTATCAGGGACTACTGGGTTGTGAATTAGAACTCTCGCCAACTAAAAACAGTGTGGATCTCACCGTGCAGTTAATTTTCAGGTTGAACCTCAAGTTGCTGTTTTCTCTGCTTTCTGGCCGTTCAGCTCAAAGTCCCGGTATAATCAGTCTCCCCAAGGGAAATACTTTAGGACACAGATGATGTACAGTAAGATCTTTAGACCAAACTATTGTAGATTCAAACTTTACCTGGCTTACTCTCTAAATTGAAAAAAAAAGAAGTTTTCAATTCAGCAGTATGCATTGTAGCTGAAATTGAAATTTCTGTCCCAGGAAGAAGTAAGTCACGGTGGGTCCTTGTTCTGAGAAATGTTTCATTATATGCAGTTGGATAAACATAACTAAGATTTGGCTCCTGCTCTCACTAGACCTAGTGGAGGAGTCTAGCATGTTATCATTTAATTACCCCAAAGTAGCAGAAGTATTACCATAGAGGTATCTTCATGTTGCCACGGCCTGATGGATTGTCATAGATCAGTGGTCGGCAAACCATGGCTCGCGAGCCACATGCTGCTCTTTGGCCCCGTGGCACAGGCCACGAAGTTTCAGTCACACTGTACACGCGCGCCCGCACGTGGTGTTTTGTGGAAGAGCCAGGGGGCCAGTTTGCCAACCACTGTCATAGATGATCCCAAAAATGACATACAGGTATGGTCTCCTAAAATCAGTTTATAAGTACTAATAACAGTTAACACTTGACGTCTGTATGCCAGGCCCTACACAACTGATTATGTGCATTAATTCATCATGAGGTAAGTATTGCTATTGTCCCCACTTCACATATGGGGAAACAAAGGCCAAGGAAAGTTAAGTACATTACCCAGGGTTACCCAGCCAACAAGTGGTAGAGCCAGGACTTGAACCTAGGCAGTCTAACGCCACCACACACACTCTGAACCCCAGACTGTACCAGCTCTCTAATGAGCCAGTACAACACTTATTGCCCTGAGTTTTAAAATATTTGAAAAGATATGGATCATTTTTATTGATAAATAGCTTTCCCTGGTCACTGTGGCTCAGTTGGTTGAGCATCTTCCTCTGCACTGAAAGGTCACTTGTTCGATTCCCAGACAGGGCACATACCCAGATGGTGGGTTCAAACCCCATCAAGGTGCATATGGGAGGCGAGCGGCCAATGTTTCTCGCCCTCTCGCTCTTCCCCTCTCCCTCTCTCTCCCTCTCCGTCTCCCCCCTTTCTCTTTCTCTGAAATCAATAAAAACATATTTTTTTAAAAGAAATCACTTTAGAAACCTTCAAAGAACCTATAAGATTAGCACTGGCTAAATTAAACCATTTAGGTAAAGACATATGTAGTAAGTTGGGCTATATTCTAATGTGTTAACGTAAATAAAAATTGCAAGAGAGTTTTTATTGCATCCATAGAGACTGGAACATGGTTTTTCCACAACACTCACTTTAACACATTCACTTTGCCCCAGCAGAAACAAAACAGTTTTCTCTTCTCAGAGTGATTTGGAATGTTTGATAGTCACAGTTGGTTAATTTCTAGGTTTATCTAAACCTTTTTATTCATCTTTAGGGTCCCTTCCAATTCTAAAATAAAGTTAATTCTACACTAATCCTCCTGGTGTTTTATTATACACCTATTATTTCAATTAAAACTATGCTGTAGTACACTACCATGTGTGAGATAGTAGTCATTCACTTCATTCTATAATATGGAATCACTTCTCTGTTCATTCAGGTTGACCAGTCTTTTTCCTCTTCGGACCATCTTGAGATTTTTTTTAATAGACTTTATTTTTTATAGCAGTTTTAGGTTAACTAAGAAAATTTAAGCAGAAAGCACAGAGAGTTATCATATATACACTCCTTCTACCCCTCTCCTCACAGTTGCCCTCATTACTGACATCTTGCATTGGTGTGGTGCATTTGTCACAATTATGAACCAATATTGATATGTTATTATTAACTAAAGTCTGTGGTTTACATTCGAGTTCACTCTTTATGTTATACAGTGTGTGGGTATGTCATACATGCATAATGTCATGTATCCAACATCATAATATCATACAGAAAATTTCACACCCTGCAAATCCCCTATGCTCCTGCTATTCATCTCTTTTCTCTCCTGCCCCGCCTAACCACTGACCTTTGTACTGTCTCTGTAGTTTTGCCTTTTCCAGAATCTCATAGTTGAAATTATACTGGCTTCTTTCACTTAACAATATGCTTTTAAGGTTCCTCCATGTCTTTTGT